TTTTGTTTTGCTTTGTCCGTTTCTCAAATTCGAAGTTCAAAATCATTTCGAGTCAATTTTTTGTGGGTGTTTATATCGGTTTAATCAAGTTTTTGGGTAGATTTGTGGGTCAAAAAGCGAAATTTATATCACATATAAGGCAGATTTGATTTTGATTTGAATCTAAGTTTTGATTAGTCGGGTATAAATTAATATTTTTTTTTACTGATAACCCAAATCCAAATTTGAATTACTGGATATGAATTGATTTTTTTTTACCAATAACTTGAATTCGATATCTTTTATTTCATAAATTTAGATTTAAATATATTTATATCTGATCTGATTATGATCCGATTAAAATTATTTTATATATTTATATAAAATTTTAAAAGCAAGTGATTATTTAAAAAAATTTAGATATAATTTATTAAAATTTTTTTTATTAAATTATTCAATTAAATTGAATTAAAATTTTAAATTCTAATATAAATTATAAAAATAAAATTTATCGAATTATCGGATAACGAGGGCGGTGGGGGTGGTATGTTATGAATGCCGGAAATATTGAGTGGTCTTCAGCTGGAATCCAGCATTACATGGCTGAAGCGGATTTCTGTAGATTTCAGTGGGACTGTTCCGTGGCAGAGTGTATGGCATATTTGCAATACAATAACTAGGCCATGTGTTTAAAGCAGTTTCCTGTCTATTCTCGTTGGTTCTCGATCCAAATCCTCTCTAATGTATATATTTTTTAATTTTATTTTTTAACAAATTATTTTATTATTTTATTTTTTTATCAGATTTAACAAATTATTTTCACTTCCTTGGATAACGATGCAAGTGAGATTAAAAAAAAAAAAGAAAAAAAACATAAATGTGAACACAAACGTTATGGAAAAACTGGGCACTCAAACAATAATCCAATAAACATGATTAAAGTAAACAATAAAGACAATAACACAATAACAAGGAATGAGGGGAGACTTTGGTTTTTACCCCAACTTTCAATCAAACTTTTCTTCACCAAATTAGGGTCAATTACACTACATATCCCTTAAGTATAAAATTTATTTTATTTTTAGTTTTTAATATTTTATTATATTATTTTTAATTTTTGAAGTATTGAATATATTCCTATGTGATCTCTCAAACACACAACATCTAAATTGCTAATAATTTTTTATCATAAACTTATTATGTGATGCCTAAAAATGTGCAATATGGGTAACTCTTGACCAAAATTTGGATAGCTCTTGATCAAAATTATATAATTTGGGTAGTTCTTTAACTAAAATTTGAGTAAAATTTTGGTTAAGAGTTATCCAAATTATTTTTTTGTCAATATTTTAGGTATTATGTGATAAATTTATAATAAAAAAATCGTTAACAATCTTTAACCCTATTTGATTAAAGAACCACATAAAATATATTCAATATTTTAAAAACTAAAATAATACTCACTCCGTTTCTAAATATTTGTCGTTTTAACCAATTTTTTTTTATTCCATAATATGTGTCGTTTAATGAAAACCAAACATTATTAATATTTTTTCTTCCAAATTTACCCTTAACTTTTCAATGCATTAGATTAGGTGGAAGTTAAGTGCCTTTCATATTCATTTCTTTACCACTACGTATTGAATAAGTGTATTTTAATGTTGTGCAATTATTTTTCACTCATATTAGAGCTATTTAATAACTTTCTTAATCTTTGTGTAAAAATCTTAAACGACATATATTTAGGAACGGAGAGAATATAATTAAAATATGAAAAAAAAAATGAGATAAATTTTATACTTTAGGGATTTTTAATGTAATTAACCCCCAAATTATAACAATTTACACTTTGAGGGGCCTATGTGGAGCCCATTGTCAACCCATTTGCTTTGCTGGCTTTCAGCCATCGATTTTGTTGGTTTGTCTGCCCGGAAAGACTACGGAGAGAGAAAGCGAGGAGAGAGAAACGAGAGTTTTTCTTCAGTTCGTTTAATATCAGTCCAATTGAGAAAATTCGTTCTCCATCTTCTTCTTCCTCGTCTCTCTCTCTCTCTGTTCATCAGCCACAACCAGAAAAACAAGAGGAGAGAGAAAAACAAAAACACTCACAAACAGAAATCCTCCATATATATATATATATACCTATGGAGGTGATTTGATGGATCTACAGATCTAACTCGCTTTCATAATCAAATGGATTGCTTTATGTCTTTCTGATCTCCGGCCTTCCCCTTTGTGTGGTTCAATAACTGACCAGAAACCATAACAGAAAGGCCTAATCATATTGTAAGTATTATATCTTCATTGTATTTAGAAGAAGAATACCTGTGAGGTTTATGTGATTGCTGGTGTTCTAGAATTTTGTAGCTGTGTTTGAGCGTTAAATTTTTCTTGGTATTGGTAGGTCTGACCAAACAATTGTCTGATTATAGTGTGGACTGTGATGGTAGATTTGACTCTTGTTTCTTGCACAATAAGCTGTCGTCTTTGCTACGTCTTCAATTTTTTTAGAAATCGTTAGGATATGGGTCATGGTTCTGTTCTTTTTAAGGTGAAATAGATGTGGGTTTTAGATTTTATATATATTTAGTTGAATTTACTAGGAAAGCTATTATCTGTCACCGGTTCATTGATTGTACTGTCTATTTTGTTGTGGTGATGGTTTTCATAATTGCGCTTTGATTAGTATTCTTTTCTTGTTATAGTTCTGTCTTTGGTCTGTAAGGAAAGAGGCTGGTGGGAGGATTTTAGTTGGAGTGCTCCTTGCATCCATTTTGGATGTTGAGAAATTGAAGGTAATCCGGGGTGAGATGAGGGATGTTATCAAGGTTGATAAATTATTTGAAGGCCTGTTGGTGTCAGTCATCGGAGCGATACGTGCACTCTGGTTCAGACACTGCCGGCCGGCAAGATGGGCTTCTTTGGTATAAGGACAGTGGACAGCACTTGCTTGGTGAATTCTCGATGGCTGTTGTCCAGGCTAACAATTTGCTCGAGGATCAAAGCCAGGTTGAGTCTGGTTCCTTGAGCTTGCTTGATTCTGGCCCATATGGAACCTTTGTTGGTGTATACGATGGTCATGGTGGGCCTGAGACTTCCCGCTACATCAATAACCATCTTTTTCAGCATCTCAAGAGTAAGTGGGATTCTCCGGAGCATGATTAAGTCTTTAATAGCAGGCTGTTGTGTAGTTTACTTTCAGTTCAACCTGTTATTAGGATTAGGAAGCTAGCTGTGGCATAGAATTCATGTCATACTTTGTGGCTGTGTTTGGAATACGTAACTAACACAGTTTCAATACCTATGTGGTTGCAATTGGCATATTGCAGGATTCACCTCAGAGCAAGAGGCTATGTCAGTGGATGTGATTCGAAAAGCATTTCAAGCAACAGAAGAGGGATTTCTATCTATTGTTACTAAACAGTGGCCAATGAACCCCCAGATGGCTGCTGTTGGTTCTTGTTGCCTAGTTGGTGTGATCTGTGGAGGGACCCTTTACATCGCCAATCTTGGTGATTCCCGTGCTGTTTTGGGGAGACTTGTCAAGGCAACTGGGGAGGTCCTTGCGATACAGTTGTCAACAGAGCATAATGTGAGCATAGAGTCTGTCAGACAGGAGTTGCATTCTTTGCATCCGGATGACTCGCAGATAGTAGTCTTAAAGCATAATGTATGGCGTGTAAGGGGCCTGATACAGGTGAGCTCTTTGATTGACTGCATCAAAAATTTTGATTGAAGTTGATTTGCTTAAATATGTTTTAGTTGAACTAGAACCTGCTTACTTTCCTCGGGTGGACCAACCTCCAACTGACGGAGGGCAGCGCTGATTATTCTAATCTCTTGTTATTTCTCTTCCAGACCAGAAAAAACCTTGTCAGTATGATATTTCTAAGAATACAATACATTCAGTAGTTTACTGTCGTTGCACTCCTCTGACTTCCATTATCTTGTTTATCATCATGAAAAGAGTAGTTATGCATCATGTTTTATGCTAAGTGGTTTCTATGATTGTTTAGGGGGATTTTGAGCTCTGGCATTCATGTTAAGTAGATGTTTTGATAAGTTTAGCATGCTATCTGTTCAATTGAAAGTTGGAAGCGAAGCTGCGGGCTTTTAATATTTGACTTTGTTGTTTTCGTTTCTGCACCCTTTCTTATCTTTTTGCTTTTTAGCTTGAAGAAATAGATAAATGCACCAACTATTTTTCTGTATCATTTAAAGCTTCTAATGACAGTGATATCTTATCTTATATAAACTATTGATGCAGCAGTCACAAAGGAAAAGAATTGAAGAGAGAAAGGAAGAAGCAGAAAGAAGAGCCTGAGAGTTGAGAGACAACATATATTCGACTCAATGCTATGATATCAATCAATATAGATGTTTCCCATTCACAATAAGCCTAGTATTTATTGGTTTCTCTGAAAATTTTCAATATGGAAATAAAAATTAAATCCTGAAATTAAAGGGATTACCTGATTCAAATCCTTAATAGAATTAGTTCTGAGTCTTACGCTTTTGTCTCAAATTGGTGAAATCTCTGCCTTGGTTATCATGCAATCCCCTTAAACTGTGTCATTGGATCCTGGGTTGAAGGGAAAGAGTTCCAACAACTGGTTGTCCTACTTAGGTTGTCTAGCTTGCTTGGGGTTTTGTTTGGGTGTAAAGGCAGTTTGCTGTTGATTCCATATGGAAAGGATAGGTTTTAGGTAGTTGATTTTTCTTTTCGATTCCTCGTCTCTTCATCATCATCATCATCATCATCTTCTTCTTTTTCCACTACTCCTCCTTTTTTCAAAATTAGAGCATCAAAGTTTAAGAGCGCACAATTGCCGGCCACTAGTGCTGTAAACTCTACATGGATAAGTAGGTTTCATCTTATCATGAGTGAATTATGTATGATTTCTAGTGTTGTGCTCTACTCCTATAGTTCTCCCTTGTGCTCGTAGTTTTCTTCTTTACTATTGGAATGAGCATATGCATATGTGCGCATCCTGTATATTTTGGATGCGATATGCCTTTTAAGTGGATACCCTTAATTAGGGTAAATCTAACTTTTTCTGTGGAGAGATACTCTAGAACAAAAAGTTTTGCATCGGTTGAATAAAAGAAATACTTGAGATCGAGATGCAATTTTGAGTGAGGTAATAGCAAAATTCATGGCTGCTGCAAGATACTCAAAAAATGATTGTTATTCTTAGATCAATCATCTTGGAGTGTTGCATCAGAAAAGGTGTTCCTTAGGGAAGCTACTCTACTCTCTTGGTCACTGGCAACAAAGGCCCAGTTGCATATTGTGTCATTTCTTTGCACTTGCCTTACTCTCTCACTTACTCTTCTTAGTGGTGGATACAATGTTTTCAGTGCATGCCACACTATAGAGTAGAACCTCCAAGTTTCTAACCCATCATGTCCATTACATTTTGTTACAACTGCATGAATTTGGAAATCCTACGTTTGTGTTAGTTTTTCAGCCACTTGGTACGGGAATGCCCACTTTACAGTGTTCAAATGCTAGACTTACAGAAATGTTTATTCCTAAATGGCAGGACATGATTATGGTGACATCGATGTGTCTTTTCTTATTTGTCGGAATTTGTGTTGCAGATTTCTAGATCCATTGGTGATGTGTACCTTAAAAAACCTGAATTCAACAGAGAGCCTTTGTATGCAAAGTTTCGCCTTCGTGAACCATTTACAAGGCCCATCTTGAGCGCTGAACCATCCATTTCTGTGCATGAAGTCCAGCCACATGATCAGTTCCTCATATTTGCTTCTGATGGCCTTTGGGAGCATCTTAGCAATCAGGAAGCTGTTGATATTGTACAGAATCACCCTCACAATGTAAGATATTTATCTCGCTGAATATGGCTTCTAATTTAGTTGATATGGTTTTTAACTATTTCCGTCAATTGGAATTTGAAGTTACTGATAAGATTTCGTGGGACTTGAAGGTGATCTTCCTGAATTATTGGTATCATTTAACCTCAAATGAATTTTGTCTGTTAGGTTGACTGGTAGCCATCATTCTAGGTCTCTACATTCGTCGTGTTAAATGTGCCAATAACTATTGCATTAGTGCTAATACAATATATTTCATACATGAATTTTATGTACTGTTAATTCTATATGCTTCTGTTAAGTGATTTTTTAATTTCTTTGTCCTGATATTAAAGATATATGTTTTTGGTTCTCACAATTTTATTTTATTGAAGCAATCATAACTAATAAATCTATTTTGGCATAACACACATGTTTGACCTACAATATAAATAATGATTTACTTATTTTTCTAACATCTGGATCGAGTAGAATTTTTTGTTTTTTTCAGTGGGAGCCTTTACCTGGTGGTTTGGATTGAAAGAAAAGGTGATAGACTTGGATTTCTGGTTCACAAGTTATGCTTTTGATCTGAACACGCTTAATATGAAGTTATAGTGTGTGCCACGAAAGAGAACTGTGCGAATTTAACAGGAGTGTAAAACCATGCTCTTACATACTTTTTTTTTTGATATTGGACACCTATAGACCTAAAGTTATGGGATTGCAAGATCATATTAAGAACATGTAGAAGGAGATAGTGAAGAACAGAAGGCATTTATCTGACTTTTTGTTCATGCAGGGAAGTGCTCGGAGACTTGTCAAAGCTGCCTTGCAGGAAGCAGCAAAGAAGAGAGAGATGAGGTACTCTGATCTGAAGAAGATTGATCGTGGGGTTAGGCGCCATTTTCATGACGACATCACAGTCATAGTTGTATTTCTAGATTCCTGGCTTGTGAGTAGAGCCAGCTCACTGAAAGGGCCGACTTTGTCCATTAGAGGGGGTGGTGTGAACCTCCCTGCAAAAACTTTAGCTCCTTGCCCTACAGCCACTTGAGTTCTTCCTCTATTGTATCCTTTGCAGTTTTCTTCTTGGAACTTCTTGTGACACTGGTGGTGATTCAAGAGAGAGGATGGAAGGTGCGCCCTAATTAATTCTTTTGATGTACAATGTAAAATTTAACTCGGAGCCAAAAGGAGGAAAAAAAAACTGAAAACATGAGGGAAGGGAGCTTTAAAGTGTATGTAGAGATTGTTTCTTGAGGACAATCTTTTCTAGTTGGCTATTTTCCCTTCCTTTTCCCTCCTTTTGGAGTTTGTTGTTTTATAAATGGTGTAATACTTGATCCCTGAAATCAGAATTTTCTCTCCCTCTTGTTGCTCTCCTCTTTTGCTGATGATATTTACAACAATATTTATTGCATGCTTGGTGGGAGAACTCAGCTTTCAAATGTTAGGGGAGGTTATTGCTTAGGATCAATTTTTTTTTTGTTTCGACTGAAATGTCATGGTTTTGCTGGATGTCAAAACCAAACAGTGGTGGAGGATCGAAATTTCAATGTTTTGGGATAATTCAAAACATTTCGGAAGGTTTAGTCCAATGTATTGCAAGGTCTCATAATCAAAATTTTAATTCCAAAACTTTTTCACAGTAATTTTGTTTTCAAGGCGACAAAACTTATTCACCAAAACGAAATTTCAATATTTTGTATTGCTTCAATCAAATTTTATGGAGAATTGCAAAGATTACAGATTTCTGAAAGCAATTAAAGTTCAGGATACACCTATGACCTACCAGTGTGTGTGACAGAGTTGCATTAGTTGCTGTAGTGTAGATGGCAAAATTCCGCACAAAGAGTCACCATCTCGTACGAATGGAAATAAAGAAGCCTTGTATAACTTGTAAGACCAAAGAAGCCTTGTATAACTTGCAAGACCAGAGATACTTATGTGAACCAATGGCCGAAGGCCAAGTTGAAGAACAAGATGGAGTGAATAGGTTAAGATTGAATGAATTACTTGATACTCAGAAACCTTTATTTATAGCAATGGGGAGATGTGTCTCAAAGAAACTTGAACTCTAGATTGATTAGCTCAACCTTGTCACCAGGTCTTAGAAGTACATGATAGAGTTAGATTAGGATTCTTGATGCTAGATCCTTATCACCAACTTCTGATTGTTTGGAATAACATTTTACTTGGACTCTCACTATTTGGTGTTTCATCACCAGCTTCTAAGTGTTCAGAGTGGTATTAAATTAAGACTCATATTTCTAAGTTATACCTTCGTTGAGTAGGACGCGTCTAAACAAAGTGGGCACAATGTGGACTTGTAGGAGCTTGATCAAGGACAAGGTGGCTTGACTCCTAGAGGCTCCGGGTGAGGGGTGCCGACCCGAAGGAACCCACAAGGGTGTGCTCTACCGGCTACCGGCAGCAATCAATAATCAGACTATAACTCTACAGACTTTTATTGGTCAATGGATCACATAGCGATTAGTAATATCATAAAATGGCTAAAATGTCAATATTGTCATACCCTCTGCAAGAAAGGTAAATAGTAAGTAGCATTATCGTTATTTTGGAGAGAGACTAATTTCCGAATTTAAACTCGTGATTCATCACTTAGGTGGAAGAGTACTTGCGATCATTCCAAAGTATGACTTGATAGATTTGAATTGTGTTAGGATACAAGTATTTGAAGCTCCTCAATCACTGGACTAAGTAGCTATGCACTCATTTTAATACCAAAAAAAAAAAAAAAAACAATTAACATACATCACACATATTCACAATTTATAGAACAAATCTCGGTTTAATCGCGAGGAATGCTGAAATCCTCATCTACACTGATACTCGTTTCTTCCATTATTCCTCTCAAGTTGCTCTTATCAGCGTCGATGCTAATGCTATTAGTCTCTAAACACCTCAAACTTGCGCTTTGAAAAGAGAGGCTATCCATCTCAACATGAAATCTCTGTAGTCCAATACCATCTATGCTGACAGAGTTCTGGGAATAATCCTGATCCACTGATCGGTAACTCCCACGATCTGTGGATTGACTGGAGACACCAACTGATCTCCGGGCACTCTTTGATGGTTGGTTGTTTATGAAGTTGTCTGATGAATGGAGAGCTGCCTCTAACTCTTGCCACACTTGAGTCATTGTAGGCCTTTGTTTGGGAACCTTCACCACACATCTTAGGCCAAGAAGTCCCATCTTTAGCATCATTTCCATGTTGCAGGGCTCTAATAGAAGACTAGCATCTAGGATTTCATCAACATTCCCTCTCTCCAAGCTTGGCCTGGACTACAATTTAATATTGAAAAGAGGTTCAAAATACTGATGCAATAATATGTTGACTTGCCCTGTCAACGAGTTGAATTGATTCCGATGAAAAAAAAGCCCGAGTCAAATTCGACCCAAATATTCGATAGATATTATTTTCATAGATCATACTCAAATCCGGTCAACAAACGGATTCTAGAATCCAAAATCTGAATCCATGGAACATCGTATAATGGATTCAAGTTTGGATTATTGATAAAAAATATCAATTCTTATCCGACTAATTAGATCCGGATTCTGATCAAGATTAGATACCCAAAGATGCCTGATGTTGATTGAATAAAGTGGACTGAGTCAACAAATTGGATAAGTAGACAGCATACTTTGTAGATCACCACCACCACCTCAGTCCATGTTGATGTAAACAAGGACCTTTGAAATGCAATGCAAATGCAAAACAAAATCAATGAGATGCTGAAATGTTTTCTGGCTTTTCACTTACCCATTCAATAATATGATAATTAGAATGGCTTCTAGAGGTATCAACAGCAGGTCGACCAGCAACAAGTTGTAGAAGTATGACTCCAAAGCTGTAAACATCACTGAATGGAGACAAATGAAAACTTGAGCAATAGGCTGGGTCAAGATACCCTGGTGTCCCTTTTATCTGGCTACTAACATGAGATTGATCCCCTATGGGACCTGATTTCACCAGCCCGAAATCTGAAACCTTGGCCTCGAACCCCTCTCCGATCAAGATGTTACTTGGTTTTATATCCCTGTGGATTATACTTGGGGTGATTCCTTCATGAAGATGAGCTATGCCTGGAGCATAAAATTCCATATGAAAAACATATATTTTAGTAACGTTACTCAGAGGATCTTCCTTCTGATTTTTACTAGTCAATGGCAATATTGACTAAGCAAGAAACCTACCTTTAGCTGCTCTAATGGCTATGTTTACTCTTTGCCTCCAAGTTAAGCTCCTCCCTCCCCTTCCTAGAACGGCGATGATCAGAAATTAATACAACAAATCATGAAGCATTAGGGGAAAAATTTAACAAAAATGAAATTTACCCATGATGTAGTCAAGCAGTGAGCCATTTGGAACATACTCGTAAACCAGTACTTTAGCTCCTTTTTGTCCTGTGGAAAGCATATCCAATGACTAAGAGGGTTTTTCCATAATTTTTGTGCAGAAAATAGGTTGGTGATCACAAAAATAGTTATATGCACATATGCCTTTATATGGCTATAATCAACATGCAGTTATTAATATCATCGGTATTAGTATACGCTGTACACTCTGGTTTAATTTGTGCTTGCACACCATTTTCCTCATTGCATCGCGATATTGTTATTACTAGTCTAGATTTAAAACAGTTTACTGATTGGAAGGGTATTGTTTTACATACCAGGTTGTTCACAGAATCCCACCAGACCTACAAGGTTCCTATGCTTCACTTTTGAAAGTAACCTGACCTCTGTTTCAAATTAGCTTCATCCAAGTCAATTACTCAAAAACATATACTTGATAAAAACTCAATGGCCTGTGCAGAAAGCAAGTTGTTGAGGCGTACCATTTCTAAATTCTTCGGTGCTTGTGTATGAATCAGCATTGGCCTTCTTGATTGCTAGTGTTCCCTCTACATCAAACTTTCCTTGGTAGACATCTCCAAAAGCACCAGACCCAACCCAGCAATCTTTGCTGAAATTATTGGTGGCCTTCTCTAGTTCTTCCAACTGGAATTGCCTCAACCTCTTTTTCTCAGCATTTAAATTTCCTAATTTTCCCATGAAATTTGATCAGTCTTTTGAATACATATGATCATTACAGCCTTTAAATTTGGTCAGCACTTGAATAACATGAATATACAGAACTAAAAACCGACAGATAACAGCGCGCGAAAGGAGAAATTAAACGCATTTTGTTTCAACTTCACCATAAATAATTTCAGTTGTCAAGTGCACATGATCAGGTTTTTTTTTTTGTAAAAATGATATTTGGATATACAATGTAATTCAAGACATGCCCGGTGGCTTCCCATGAAAAGACTCACAAAAAAAATATGCAAGGGAAATCTAATTTAGAAGATAATGCTCTTGTAACACTAGAGATTAGGTAACTACTAATCTCCCAGCAAGAGACTAACCTTTTTGATTCCGACGCAGCCTGCAATTAGCATAGAGCTTCCTCTTGAAACAGAAAAATAACAAGCCACCAAAGAAGACCGTTACGATGCCAATCAAAAGCCAACCCCATATATGACCAAGAACAAAGCCTCCACTTTTCATCTTCGAAGGCGCTAATGCCGGTGAACCCGCTTGTTTACTTGCCATTGTAACTTAGAATTTCCCAAGCTCAAAAAAATTACGTTTGAAACAACTATAATCCTCACCTCATTCTCTTTCTTTCCACAACCATTATGCTAGCCTTTCACTGCTTCCCCCTTTTTGCATGAAATCACATGATTGAAGACAGAGAGAGAAGGGGGAGAGAAAGGAATATAGGGTGGTATATAATGTCAAGTGACAAAGTTGCCGGCTATCATGTGTATGTTCAAATGTCACACTCTCTTGCTACTTGTACTATCTTGGTGACTTGGTCTTCACTGCGGGCGGCACATATGGCCAAGCTAATATACAAAACATGAATTCTCCATCCGGAAAATTCGCTCACCATAGAAATTATGTCTTATATTCCTCTCTAATTCATAAGAGCGTATGATTCCGGACCTTGTTTTTAAATTGGTGTGGTTATAAGTGTTATAAATTCGGGTTAGTTTAATTTGTCTTTTGTCTTTTGTTTTTTTTTCGTTTGAAATAATTATTTTTAAGAGTTAATTGTGCTGGAGGTCCTTAAAGTATGTGACTTGTCTCATTTTGGTCTTTAATGTTTCAATTGTATCATTTTGATCCGTGAAATATTGAATATGTTTCTATATGGTCTTTCAAGTAGATAACGTACAGAGATTGCTCACGATTTTTTATCATAAATTTATCACGTAATACTTAAATAGGGACAAAAAATATTTTTGATAGTTCTTAAACAAAATTTGGATAACTCTTAATACAAAATGTATAATATTGGTAACT